CTAGTCATATTTTTTATCACTAGGGACTTTTCCTACAGCTCCAAAGTACACATGAGTACTTTTTGGAAAAGAACTCTTAACATAATATGACACCTTATCTTATTTATTTACACAAAACATCATTTTCTCAAGTTAAAGTAACATTTATGACACCAATAACTATCAACCCCAACATTTGTGACTATAAATATGCAATTTTCATTTTTCTTTTTTAGGAATGAAAATGAAACACTAACAACAATCTAAATGGATCACATCTGAAAATGAACTGAAACTAAAACAAAGATTTCATAATAACTACACCAAATACAAGAACAACAACAAAGTAGCTTTCAAGATATCACATAAAACAAAAACTATCAATTAATTGATGCAAATAAGAAAAAGAACAATAAAGATAATAATAATAATTTTTTTATAATTCAAGCATAAGTCTACAAAGACAACGAAATTGTTCAAAAACAAAAAGGTTTTATTCCGATTTTCTCACAATAGCCCAACTTTCGAGGTGTTGTTGAAGGTCGCATGACATTGGCTTTACTCGGGTTTTAGTGATTTCTCAATGTCGATAACGAAACGGTACTTGACATCGGATTTCAAAAGACGGTCCATTGCCGTGTTCAAGTAATCTATCGGAATCATTTCAACATCGGGCAATATATTATGCTTTGCCGCAAAATCAATCATCTCTTGCGTCTCTTTAAGCCCTCCAATTGCACTCCCCGATATCGACTTCCTCCCTATATTTTTTTTTGGATAAATTCATCAATGTTAAACAATAATCTCGAAATAATTATACCACAACAATTAACAATAATAATATAAAGAAAAAAGGGCAAATTACGGCCACCCCCAGAGGTATGACCAAATTAGAAAAAAAAACCCTCTTATTTGGGTAATTACAGCCACACCCTCTTTTAAATATTTACACATAAAATTTACCCAATTCGGTTATTTACTGAACCAAATCGAAATATTCAGTTCGGTAAACGGTATGAAATGTTGGTGGACCGAAATTTCGGTTCGGTTTTACCGATTTAGCATCCCTAAATTTACCTTTGGAATGGTTTTTTCGTAGGATAATACATTTTTGAGGGGCTGACTGTGATTACCCAAACATGAGGGGGGTTTTCGTAATTTGACCATAACTCAGGGGTGACCGTAATTTGCACAAGAAAAAATGTACTCAAGTGGGAAATACTAACCCGTAATAAGGGGGAAAACCAGGAAGCTCGAGTGGCTTCTCTGGAGCACCGACCAAGATAAGCTTTCCGTTAGGCTTTAACAGACTTACTAACGGCACAATTGGATGAACCGCAGATACTGTATCGATGATACCGTCCAATGTACCCGGTGCAGCCTATTCTCACATAGAAACCTGATCACGGTTAATTTTTTTTTTTTTCGTATATACTTAAAATCAAAGAATATTATTTGTTCCCACTACAATCTAAGGCGATTTTTTTTTGGTTAATTGCATTCAACACCCTTGTGTTTACTCTAATTGTTAAAAAAAATAACTCGTGTTATAAACATTAGTAAAACTCCCCCTATAATTCAATTTTATAAGAAAACTACATCCTAAATGATGCAATCTAAAGATCATCATGTTTGCTAAAAAAATGCAGCATAGGGGAACTTTTGCTAATATTTATAATACGGGGAGTTCTTAGCAATTAAATATAAAGATAAGGGTGTTGAATGCAATAAACTCATTTTAACCAACCCTTATTAGGAGAGCTGGCACCTATTTTAATGAAGAAAAAAAAACACAGTTATTTTTTTCACCTGCATCTGCTCTGGGTCACGGCTAACCAAAAACTCGTCGGCACCGAGTTTCTCAATCGCCTCCTTCTTCTTGCTCAACGAAGTGCTAATCACAGTCACCTTAGTCCCGAAAGCCTTAGCGAATTTGACCGCCACATGGCCGAGCCCACCAAGCCCGACAATGCCGACACTAAGGCCGGGCTTGTCGAGCCCGAAGTGCCTCAACGGGCTATAAGTCGTGATCCCGGCACATAGTAGCGGTGCGCCGATATCAAGGGGGAAATTTTCCGGCCAACGGATTATAAAGTGCTCTGCGGCCACCATTAGATTGGAGTAACCTCCGTACGTGATGGTGCCGTCGGTGTAGACCCCACTGTACGTCAATATTTGTTTCGGGCAATAGTTTTCGAGGTCGCTGTTACATTGGCCGCAATCGCCGCACGATCCGACTAAGCATCCGACCCCCACTTTGTCGCCGACTTTGACCTTTTTGACCTTGGCCCCGACCTCGGTTACTACGCCCACAATCTCGTGCCTGCATCAAAGGGATAATTTACACAAAATTGGCAATATGTAATTATGTATTACAAGAGATTTATTATCTATGGTTTCTTTTTTTTTTATTATTTTTTTTTTAAATTTACCTTATAAATTGGCCTACAACCGAACCCCAAAAGGAATAGGATCCTTGTATTATAAGTGTTGATTATTTATTTTAACAAATTTGTGCATCCATAATAAATCAAAGTTTACTACTGCATTCAGTACTCCATTGTTATATCGAATTGCTAAAAAACTCCCCATCTTATAAATATTACAAAACCCCTCTCATAATGTATTTTATTAGCATACATTCCCTTATACATTTATAATATGAGTTTTTAGGGGTTTTTTTAAATTAAAAATTGAATCATAGGGGTGTTTTTGCAAATGAAATAACAAGAGGGGCTTATTCATAATTAGAGAAAAAACCAGGGTGCCGAATACAATAAACTCTGATAAATCATGCTAATAAAAACAAAAAGGTTATATTTGTCACTAGATTTGTTATATTGCAGACCAATTCAATCCAAATTCATTAAATTATTAAAAAAAAAAAAAAAAAAAAAAAAGTTACACACAGACACACAGTGAAAGATGGAATAGTTACCCAGGTACAATAGGATACTGAGAGAATCCCCACTCGTTCTTAGCCATATGAAGATCTGAATGGCAAACCCCACAGTACAGAACTTTGAATTGCACATCATTTTCGCCGGTTGCTCTGCGCAATTTAATTTAATTAGTTAATTAAAAAAAAATGTGGATTAAAAAAAAATTAAAAAACTTGGAATTGTAAAATTAATGGAGGTTGAGTTCAGATCTAAACCTTCTAGAGAATTTGAATGGAGAAAAAACACCAGATGTATCTCTGGCGCCCCATCCGTACGCCACAACTGGGTGCTCTGTTTCTGGAGATTTCGCCATTGATTGAGGTTTTTTTAGAGAGAGAAAGAAATGCAGAGAGAAATTTAAATTGAATTTGTTCTTTGTTGTTTGGATCGAATGATTATGAAAACAAGGGAGAGGAAAAAGTGGGTATTTATTGCCAAGAGCTAAGCTTTTTATGACGATTTCCGTGACGTATGAATGTAAAAATCACGTCATGGCTTATGAGAAAGGGGTAATATGCTATAAGTCCCTCAAAGCAAACCTAATTTGGACTAAATAACAAGTCAAAATCCAATCTTTTAATTAAATCCTTAATTTGAAACAATATAGGATATACATCCCTAATTATTTTTTTATCCCTATATTGCCCTTATACCTTAAATATTTTGACCTACATATTACGTTTCTTTTCTTGTAGCAGATTTATTTCTTTTTCTTCTTCTCTTTTTCTTTTTCTCTTTCGTTTCTCTGCCCCTCCTCTGTCGATATCTCTCTCTCTCTCTCTCTCTCTCTCTCTCTCTCCGATCTCTATATAGCTATTCTCCTTTTTTTTTTGTTGAGACACGAATATTGTGCCGGAGATGCAACAGGGGGTGGATGCGGATCTGCCGGAGGCGGCGGAGGAGATGACGGAGTGGGTACCGGAGTGGCGGTGAATCTATTATGGCGGTGGATCTGAAGGCGGCGACGATCTGGGTAGCGGAGTCGGCATCGTTTTTGGGAAGAGATGAGTCCAAGTATGTGAGTTGAATGAACATGGTAGTGGCCGGTTATGTGGGGATGGTTATCGGAGGCGGTGGCTATGGCGTTGGCGGCGATGGTGCCAGATCTAGGGTTTCATAATGAATAAAGGCGGCTATGTGGTGGCAGATCTAGGGTTCCGTAGTGAATAAAGGCGGATATGGTGGCTAGGGTTAGGTGGCTGCGAGTGGCGGCGCGCGGCTGCTAGGTAGGGTTTGTGACGGCGGAAGTTATTTTTGCTTTTAGGGTTTTGGAACAGTAAACCGTAGTAGACCATAGTACACCGTAGTACACCATAGTATAGCATAGTACACCATAGTACACCATAGTATTTCATAGTCTACTATAATATTCACAACAGATAAAATTTTAAAAAAATATATGTAAATTGAATAAAAATACGATTTTTTTTTTAATTTTAAATATTATGTACGAAAAAAAAGATTTTTTTATGTTTTTTATAATAGTGTAAAAATGATATAATTAATTTTTTATAATAATGAAAACAATACGACATGGAAAAAAAATGTGTTCTATGTAAAAAGGAATAATAAAAAATGATAGATGCAAAAATAAAAATATTAAATGCCGAATTAATAATGATAAATACAGTTTAAATATTATTTGATGTAGATTTAATTTTTTATTGTGAAGGGCATTTTTGGAATGAAATTTATAAAGGATGTGAAGCAAAAGTTTAGTTAGACTTATCATTTAGTTCTAATAAGTTTTGTCACTAGGGACTTATATCGTAAGACCCCATAATTATAAGCAATTTACAACTAGGGGTAATATGCTAAGAGCCCCTCAAATCAAACCTAATTTGAACTAAATGACAACCTTAAATTTAATCTTTTAATTAAATCCCTATTTTCAAATAATATATGAGCCACATCCTTTAATTTTTTTTAATCCCTAGTTTGCCCTTATACCCTAAATATAATATCTATATTCACGTTTCTCCAACTTATCAGATTTATTTTCTCTTATTTTCTTTTCTCTCTTCTCTCTCTCGTTCTCTCCATCTCGTTCTCTCCCTTTCGTTTTTTTCCCTCTCTCAATCTCTATCTCCCAACATCGATCTCGCTCCTCAATAATGGTTGGGCTGGTGACGGTGGCTATGATCGGTGGACTATGGTGGCGAAAAACAACAGATCTACAAATTCCGGCGATGGATCGAGAGGGTTTGGTGGAGGCGGCAATGGCAGGTGGAGGCAACGGCGGCCGGTGAAGGCACATCGGCGAGTTGAGGCGGCGCCCGTCGGTGGCCGCCGGTGAAGGCGGTGGCGGTGGGTGGGGGTCGGCGGCGGCGGGTGGAAGGTCTGGTGGCGGTTGTGCGGGCAGGGCTGTGATAAATATTATGGAAAATATTTTTTGACTAATTAATTGGATCTAATTTCCTTGTGTTTTGAAAGATTTTGCTTGATTTGGGTTGTTCAAATGTCAGATCTAGGTTTTCCCAAGTTGGTAGGTGATTATAGCCGCGACGGCTGCGAGCGTGGGTTGTTAGGGTTGGCGGCGGCTGCTAGGGTTTGCGACGGCTAGGAGTTTTTCGTGGCTAGGGTTTGGTAGTAAAACATAGTACAGTGTAGTATACTATACTACACCGTAGTATACCATAGTACACCACTACACTATAGTATACTACAGTACGTCGTAGTATACCATAGTCTACTACAGAAAAATTAAAAAATATGTAAATTGAAATTAAAAAAAAAAAAAAAATAGTATATATTTTTTTTTTTTTGTAATTCTGAATATTATGTAGAAAAAAAGAAGGAAAAAATAAAAAAAAAATTATAATAGTGTATAAAATGCTAAAATGAATAACGAGAAAAATGAAAACAAACGAATATTCTGAAGAAAAAAAATACTAGATGAAAATATGAAAATATTAAATGCACGATAAATAAAATGATAAATGCAATTTGGAATTTACTTAATGAATTTTTCGAATTTGTGAGTGGAGGGCATTTTTGGAATGAATTTTATAAAGGATGTGAAGCAAATGTTTAGTTAGACTTGTCATTTAGTTCAAATAAGTTTTGTCACGAGGGACCTATATCCTAAGACCCCTATGAGAAAATGATTTATTTATATTTTCTACCAAAATAAAATCACTCATTTTCCAGATAGTTCTTTTTTTTTTTCTTTTTCTTTTTTGGTAATTAATGAATACACTCTCGTGCTATAACTTATGTAAACCATACGTGACCACACTAGGTTAACGGAAAAAAATAGATGCTACACCTGGTTTTTTAGATTAGTAGATGGATTTGAAGCGTAGATCTGCGATTAAGCGCACACACATATGTGCGTGTATGCTTAATTAGTAGTTAGTTAAGTAAATTCACGGTTCAAATTCATTCAGTGTAAATAATCAGACGTAGTATCTAATTTCATCTAGAGTAATCATGTGCGACAAACTGCTTCTATAAAAAATTCAACCTTAACGAAAATTCAACCTTAAATCAATTAATAAAGGCGAACTTGCTTCAATCCTTGCGGGAACATTTTCTTCCGGATAGTACTAGTTGTTATAATTACTTGCACCAAAAGGCGAAATCCCTCGCCCCCAGGGCCCCCATCCCTTGGCCCGACAAGGATTGATGGAGGAATGTAAATCATGGTAACTCAACGGTCCGTTAAGGTAGCGGACCCGGACCTGGTGCCCACAAGGAACCAATCTCATTGGAGTTGAAATTCCCACACTGCGGCTGCCAGGATTCGATCCTAGGACCTTGCACCAACTTACCACCTCCGGAACCAGTTGAGCTACACCCATGCGGGCAGTTGTTATAATTACTGAGTCATGGGTAGGTGGAGAATTGGAACAAAATTTTCAAGAATTATAATCATAAAATCTCCAATTTAAAAAAAAAAAGTTTTTTCATTCCAAATTTTGATTTTAACTTTTACAAAATAAATAGGAAAAATAAAAAATTGCACTTATAATATTAGTACTATTATGCATTTTATAGTACATGTTAGAAATAAATATAATTTCTTATTCTCGTGTATTTAAATTTCCAGATTTTTTAATTGTATTTTTCAATTATTAATTTGCAAAAAAAAATGTTATAGAACGAGATTGAAATTTAGTTTTCATTTAAACAAATTGATTTTTTTTTTAAATTAATGTTTTAATTTAGACTAATGAATGTCAGCCGATCATTACAATGTATGGCTTCCACTTCTAAGGAGTAGCTGGTGGGGAATGCATTTATTTTATTACATTAATTTAATCAATTGAAATGTTGAATGGCAGTTGTAGCCATAAATGCTACTAGCTAACTTGGTGGAGGAGTTAATGCTAATTGAGCTCACAATCTAATAATCCGAAATATAATTATCTATTTCATTTCAAATTAACTATCGCCTTTGAAAAGTTTTCATTTTCTCAAATTATCTGTCACTTTAGAATTTTAACAATATCTTAATTACTATTTTCTCAATATTGCTCTTACTAGTATTCATTAATTGAGAGAGAATTAGTGGAAACGACAGTAATAACATGGACATTTTAGTCGTTCTATATACTTTTTCTCCAAAATCGACGCAAATTTATTAGTTTTCTTAATATGTGTGTAACAATCCAAAACGACATATATTTTGGCATGGAGAGAGCAGTAAAGAGAGATAATTTAGAAGAGAATATGTGTTGATGTCATTAAGAAAACATAGCCCCTAGTCGAATTTATTACTAAGGACTTGTATAAGAAAAATCTTCATAATTGTTTCTTATTTTAATTCGTCTTAATTAGACCGAGATTTACATTAATTGATCTACTCTCCTAATAAATCTATGAAATGGAAATCTCACATTTTGCTGTTCCAACGACTCTTTGCCACCTCGCCACCTACTATACCTTGATTTTCTCCGAATCTTTATTTCCATGGCGTCCTTCAGCATTTTATGCGAACGCTTTTTTTGACGCTTTTTTTTTATAGCAAGCTCTTCTCTTTTCTAGTGGCGATTTTTTTATAGTTTAACTTCTGATAATAAGTCTTTGGCCCCTTAAATACCTTTAATTCTCATTGTCCACTTTGTCTCGTCTTTAAGGTCCAACTTTGGGTGAAGTTCGGCCCAAGTTTACCGAACTAATTCATATATATATATATATATATATATATATATATATATATATATATATATATATATATATATATATATATATATATATATATATATATATATATATATATATATATATATATATATATATATATATATATATATATATATATATATATATATATATATATATATATATATATATATATATATTGTGTATAAATTAAAGATCAAATATTATTTAAATTTGTTTATCGTGCCCTATAATATGTTGGACACGACATTAACTTATGATTGGACTGTTAACTAAT